TGTGGTGCTGGGGGATCGAACCGCGGTCCCTGTGCTTTGCCAAGCTTGTTCCAAGTAGGTGCTTTAGACCACTGAGCCATCTCTCCAGCCCTCACTATTCAATCTTAAAAACAATTTTTGAGCAGAGTGTAGTGACACATGCCTATAATTAGTGCCAGGAGGCTCTGGCAAGAGTCTTGCCATGAATTTGAGGCCAATTTGGGCTATTTAGTGAGTTTAGTTAGCATGAACTATATAGTGAGACCCTGTCTCAAAAAGCCAAAACACTTTTTTAAAATTTAAAACGTTGGAATTTTTGTTGGGTATGGTGACACATGCTTATAATTTCAGCACTTAGGAAGTTGAGGAAGGAGAGTCTTACTGAGTTCAAAGCTTGTCTGGACTACATAGTAACTTGTCTCAAGAAAGAAAAAAAGAAAATGTCAACATATGCTATAATATGATGAATCTTGAAAATAATATGCTAAATAACACCAAACAAAACAGAAAGACAAATATTTTAAGCTTACATTTATATGAACTAACTAGAATAGTTACTTTTACAGAGTAGAATGCTGGTTGGTAGAGTACTGGGGACAAGACGGAATAGAGAGTTACTGGTACTGGTTATACAGTTCTTTTCTGGGATGATGAAAAATTCTAGAAATAGCTGAGAATGGTGGTGCACACCTAGTTACCCCAACTATTTGGGAGGCTGAAGTAGAAGGACTGCCAATTTCTAGGCCAGCCTAGGGAACTTGAGACCCTGTCTCAAAACAAAATATAAAATGGCTGAAAATGTATCTTGTTAGTAGAGTGCTTGTTTAACATGGATGACATTCTGGGTACAATCCTCAGTACCAAAAAAGCAAAAACAAAACAAAACAAACCAGTTCTGGTAATACAGTGGCAATGGTTATACAATTTTGTTTTTAATGAACTACACTGTACATTTAAAAATTGTTAGAATGATAACTTTTGCTATAGGTATTTATCAAAAAGAAAAACAGTAACAGGGCCAGGGAGATAGCTCAGTGGCACAGCACTTGCCTGGCAAGTACAAGGTCCTGAATTAATGAAAAAGAAGGGGCCAGGGAGATAGCTCAGTAGAATAAGTGCTTGCCTGGCAAGCTCTAGGGCCTGAGTTCAATCCCCGGTTCCACCAAAAAAAGAAAAGAAAAAAGAAAAATGGAAATAAAGAAGAAATGATTCCTTTGATTTGAACTGTTTCTATGAAAGTCTTCCATGAAGATTTTGGAGAACTGGAGAACCTGATAGGAAGTCAGAGAATGGCCACTGAAAAGTACCAAGATGAACCCTTGGTGAAAGCATAGCTCAGTTAAACCCTGTACTCAGGTGTGGATAGCCCACAAAGAGGTCCAGCAGATGTTCTGTTCCTAGCTGTTAGTCTACAGATGTCACTTGCCTGGGGTGCATGGATCAGATTCATCTCTAATAGCCGAGTCTGGAGGTGCCCCTCGCCTGGGCAATTATTCTTCAAGACATCCAACAAGAAGGAAGTACACTGCTGAATTAAACTGTTTTCCATGAAAATGTCCACAATCTGCAAAGATCCAAGCCACATCCTCATTAAAAGGCAGCTGTGTTTTTCCTATTGAAATAGTTACTGAAATAGAATCTCATTTAGAAATTCAGTAATCAGTTCCCTCCTTTGCTTTTTTTTTTTTTTTTTTTTTTTCGGAACCGGGGATTGAACTCAGGCCCTTGTGCTTGCCAGGGAAGCACTTGTTCTACTGAGCCATCTCCTCAGGCCCTTACATTTTTTAATGACTTCAAATTCAAGAAATTCATAGCTATTATTTCTTAAAAGGTTATTTTGTGAAATCATACCACTGATATCAGCCTCATCAATAGGATAAAAGTAGTGGACTACTGCAGTGAATTAACGGGCACCTTTTTATAATGTGAGCAACCAAATCCTCTGAAGTGATACAAATAATCAAATGATAATTAATACAACCTACAGACAGCCAGTGCACGTTGTCTGGCCCACTCACCGTCATTATTCAGGCACAAATGGGAAAATGCCAACATTTACTCAGACAGTCACTAAAGTTAAGGGGCAGGAATATAGCTCAGCGGCACAATGCCTGCCTGGCAAGTACAAGATCTTGAGTTTGGTTCTCGGAACCAAAAAAAAAGAAAGAAAAAGTGAAATGAACATTAAAGAATAAATAAAATAAGGAGAAGAAATATAGCTAACAAATTTAACAACTGTGTCACTGTTTTCATATTTAAAGTATATGAGGGCTGGAGAGATGGCTCAGTGGTCTAAAGCACCTACTTGGAACAAGCTTAGCAAAGCACAGGGACCACGGTTCAATCCCCCAGCACCACATGCCAGCCAGCCCCGCCCCCTGGTGGGCTGAGCTGGCCACACACACACACACACACACACACACACACATAAATAAATAAAATTAAAAAAAAATAAAGTATATGAGAAAGTTTATGGCTGGGGAGATAGCTCAGTAGAATAAGCGCTTGCCTGGCAAGCACAAGGACCTGAGTTCAATCCCCGGTTCCACAAACAAACAAAAAAAAGTTTAAAACAATTTATGAAATGTAATCAAGATTTAAATTGGAGATTTTTTCCTATTAACATCTATGTAAATTGGCTCAAAATTCTTATTCATAATCAGTAAAATATCTGCAAATTTACAAATGTAAATCCAATATAATCGTACTTATTATTTCTAGGCAGGCTGTTAGTATTATTGCCCTGCTTCAAACTTTGCTACACACTTATAGTACTACCCAGAAGTTGCTCAAAAGTTCACTGAAGTTATTTGATATGTTTTTATACTTAAATACTAGTAAGTTGCACTAAACAGACTGGTGTTCACATAAATCCAGGGCAGGCAGACACCTACAAGAGGCAAATCTGAGTGACTTGACAGTATCTGCACTGGTGTTCAGGCTGTTTGTCATCATAAAGAAATAAGGTAAAGGGGGCCTGCCCCTTAGCTCAGTTCTTTAAGTGGCTGCTTCAACAAAGCAGTCAGGCTCAGGTTGCTGTTGTTCGATCCTCACAACTCAAGCCAGCCAAACCTGCCCTGAAGGCATTTGGAGAAAAAAAAATTATTCCAAAAAAAGAGAGAAAGAAATAAGATAGTAACAAGAGGATGTGAAGAATGGATGATTACACTCAAATGGCATCCTCACAATCTACCACCAATCATTATTTCAAAAACAAAACCCTTACAATTGGACACACAAATCCTTCAGTATATTTCAAATCAAAGGTAAACTAGGTATGGTGGTGCACACCTACAAACCTAGGACTCTGGAGGCTAAGAAATGAGAGTTGAAGGGGCAATTTAGAAGATCTACAGCTCAGTGTGAAGACCCTGGCTACAATCTGAGGTACCATGAAAGACAGGGAGAGGAAGAAAGAAACATGTATTCTTTCTCTTTATTTCTTTTTTGTTTGAGACAGGGTCTTACTATGTAGTACAGGCTGGCCTTGAACTCAGTGATCCCCTTGCTTTGGCCTCCTGAGTGCTGGGATTATCAGCATGCACCACCACACTTAGCTCAGAATCTTCTTTTTTGTTTGTTTGTTTGTTGGTTTTGTGGAACTGGGGATTGAACTCAGGCCCTTGCGCTTGCCAGGGAAGCACTTATTCCACTGAGCCATCTCTCCAGCCTTCGAAATCTTCTTGATGGCTCTAAGAAGGCACAAAATATTGACCCCAGCAGATTGTGTTTACCTGATTAATGTTGGCCAAAGGCTCTTCTTCCTGCACCAGCATTTGAGAAAACTGCAGACCCTGGTCGGGACTGATCCTCATCACACTTCTCAGCAGAAAGATCCAGTCTGGGGTATATCCAACCTGGAAGTGAGGAAACACCAATCAGAAAAAGTAACTCAAATGCACCACCTTTCAATACAGAACTTAACATTGCTAAAGAAATTGAAATCCTGCAAAGTGAGCCTTCACACTACAATGGAATGAGACTAGAAACCTGCAGCAGTAACCTATGTACTCAGAATACAATTTTTTTCCCTCTTTCTTTCTTTCTT